TAGCAAGGAAGCAGACAAGCAGCCTCTTCACTAACTGAAAGTTTGAATTTCCCCGCTTTCCCTGCCTTCTCCACATATTAGGTATGCTAATATCTGTGCACTGGAGGATTGTGGGAGGAACATCCAGCCCCTGAAGGGGGTCCTGTGGGGCACCCCAAAACACTGAGTAGCTCTCTTGGCCTCTTTTGGGACTGGGGCTGTGCAGCCCTGTTCTGATCAGGAGGTGCAGCCGGGGGGTCACCATGCCTTTGGGGGACAGGGCACAGAAAGGGACAGGAGGTTCAGGGGCCATTCCAACTCATACCTGGCAGGGAGATACCATGATAATCAAAGTGGTTTTCTCAGGGTGAGGCTCATCTATTGTACTTTGGATGTGCTGACCCCTGTGATTTCCCTAAATGTAGGAAAATGAACTGCCTAAGTGGGGGACTGTGTTTGTGGTTTCCCCTGGTCTTTCTAGAATCACTCTTTCCCCTTTGGTCTTTGGCTGTTTTCACTGCCTGCTGCCATAGGCCTGTTAGCCTTGCTGGTTTTCCAGGTAGGCTGCAGGAAGCAGATCCTGGAAAGCCAGCAGTGCAGAATGGTGAGGTCCAAACAGCAAGCAGTCTCTGGTGCCAGTTCAGAGGCCTCCCAGCATGGCAGTGGGAGGCTTCTGGGTAGTGGTGGTTGAACCCTTTTTTACTGTATTTGCTCCCTAAGACACATATACTTTCTCCCCCACTATTTGGGGGGGGGGGGTGCGTCTTATGGACCGAAAAATACGGTACTTGTCTCTTCCAAAGAAAAGCAGAATGTAAATGTAGCTAATATTAAACAACAAATTCAATGTGTGGTTTTAAATTAAATCCAGGCAGAGAGAAACAGAGAGAGAGAGAGATAAGACAAGACGGTTCAGTCAGGAATCTCACTGGTTCATTCAAAGAAATATGAAATAATTTCAAAACAGGCACTGGTCTATTTTTATTCCTGTTTCTTCCCCTCTGCCTGCCCTCAAGTTCCTTTACTATTGTTTGTCACTGTAACATGTTACGTATTGACTAAAAATAAATGGCAGTGTCTTTATGGCTATGTCTTTCACTCTGCAGAATAGTCTCACACTAGGAAGCCCACATTTTCATCCCTTGGAATCCATTTTTCTGCAATAATTTGTCTCAGCAAACTATTTCTATGCAGAAAATCAGTTGAAGAACAGAGGTTTATAGTCTAACCTTTTTAAAAAAATTGTTACAGGATGACACATAAGGCAAAAGACATATATCTATTTATTATTAATAGAAAGTATTTAGCTAACTTTTAAGTGGTGTTTTCCATTATAGTTTTTATCCACTAAAATACACATTTTTGAAGGGTTGGTGGAATCTATTGAGAAAGAAAGGACAAATCATGTAGAAAGAAGAGCAGCAGGAGCATTAAAGTAGTCCCGCAACAGTTAATACCTATAGACAGATGGTAAACAACTGTCTTTCTCAGAGCACTGGCACATATTGGCCAAAGTTCTATTGTGTTGTTACACCTGTGGAAGGTAAGTGACAGAAGTCACAGTTGTGTCTTGGTGATAATTAATGAGTTTCCACTTGGATTTTCAGTTGCACATCAACCCACCAAACTGGTACACTCTCAAAAATCCAAGCAGGGACTAATTAGCAGCAGGAAGCCAGTGCACGTTATGCTGTTGGTCTTCTGCAAGCCTAACTAAGCAAGAGGATTGCAACCATAGTATTTTCATTAAAATTCTAATTAATGGCCAAGATCCAACAATGGACCTTGGTTCTGAATGCTACTGGAATTGGGACTTCACTCCCTTCTTTCTTGTGCCATAGTCTTCTGTGGTGCTAAAAAAAAAACACCCTGCTCCAAAGGTCCCCAGAGTCATCTGGTGCAGGATTTTAGGATGTAGGGGATGAAGGCTACAAGAGGAAAAGAGGATTCCTGACTCTGCCAGAAACATTGAGGTTCAACAGAAATTCATCTTTGGATTCTGGACATTGCTTCCAAATGTGTATCACATTCAAAGGTTCAGCAGATTGGTGTCCTGTTTTGTTCTTTTCTTGGGAATACTCTTTTTGACCATACATAAGGGGTTGGCCACCCTGCAAATTTGGAAACATGGGTCTCCCCATCAAGAGTACCCCATCCTACCCAAATACAGACACTCTTTGTTTTAACAGAACATGATGAGATTTGTTGCTGTTTTTCTTTTTTAAGATGAAAGCAGTAAAAAGCATTTTGGTAATTGTAACAGACAACTCCCATTATAATGTTTTATTGACAAGTTGGTTGTTAGGAAGCCAGTGCAATAATAGCGTACAGACACTGCAGAAGCCATTTACTAAATTGATCTTCTCACAAACCTTTTGATTTTTACAAACTCCCACCTGCCTCCAGTTCACAAGTAATCTGGTAATCAAAAGATAATCTTCCAAAATAAATTAGAGGACGGTTATTATTAATGAGAAATTTCATTGATGGGTGGAGGGAGATACGATATAAGACAGATGCAACACTTCTTTATAAAATAAAGTACTCCGTACATTATGTGAAAACCAAGGATTTAGTACACTCATTTCTATATCCTAAAAAGCCTGTGAGCTGAACTCACTGTTTCTATATTCGCAGCCTGTGCCAGACTTTGGAATTTGTGTAAAGCAAACCAAAACGGTAACTGGACATAAATGCTTCCAATATGTTTGAAGTCTAGGCTTCACGTTGAGCAATTCATATACAGTAGTAGGGTGACAGGTTTGAAAATGGGGCTGTTTTCATAACGCACACAGCATAAAACTTTTTTTTGTCCTCCAGAACATCCAGAGGATTCACTAGTACAATTTTTTCCTAGTCAGCTTCCAGTTACAACAACTCCCAAGTTGTTAACAATGAACACAAATTAAAACGATCTGCAATTACAATAATAATGTAACGCCTCAAAAATCAGCTGGGGGTCCAAAGGACAATTCTTCATCATTCCCCCTCTGTCTAATGGTTAGTGGGTGACCGTGGCCCTTCAGATGTCCCTGGACTCCACCTTCCAATCCCAATGATGTCCTTGCACTTTTCCCACACACACGTTGGAAGCTGTGACAGACAGGTGGTATTGGGATATAATACAGAAGAGAAAAAGTTAGCACGGAATTTGCAGAGGGTTGAGGGAAGAAGTAGTCAATCCTATTGCTGTTTCAACCCTTTATGTCTTATTTGCTTTCAGTGGATATAATTTTGGGTCTGTATGTTGTCTTGTGTTTTAAAAACAAGGCAAACAAACAAACAACAAAAGCAGCCTAAATTGCCACACCCAGGCGACCCACTTCCTGGATTGAGGAAAAGAGAATATCTGTAACTTAAAGTCATGCATATTTTCTCTCATCTTGCATCACGTGTTCTACCTTTTGCACCTTCTGCTTTTTCTAATCATGGGAAGCAGCAAGGAGCAATGTAAACCACTGAAACTCCAAACCTAGCCACTAAAAACAGCCTTTTTGTGACTTCTGAGCATTCAGTACACCCACAGGTTTATCCACAAGTACTAGAAGAGCTTCTCATGAATTGGGTTTTTTTTATAAACAGTGTACATTTATTATATCCTCGTAGAGATAGTTGTTTTTGGCAAGGTGAAGAATGCTAGAGGACTGACTGTGTCGTTTTTCACAGCAAAACATAACATAATGATACTTTATTTTATATAAAATACTTTATATGCCACCTTTCTCCTAGAGGATCCAAGGCAGCTTACAGTATTAAAAGAAATGAAGTCAAAAAACAAATAATAAAATATTGCATTATTAGAGCAGCATTAAACAAATATATTACAACTCACCATAAGAGAAAGATTAAAAACCCAAGTAAAACACAGAATAAAATGATCCTTTTTAATCCCTAGTCAGCCAGTAATTTAAAGGAAGGCCCACTTGAAGATAAAGGTCTTTGCTTACAGAAGGACACCAAAAACGGGCTAACCTGGCCTTCCATGGGAGGGAGTTTCAGAGTCTAGGACCAGTGACAAAGAACACCCTGACCCACGCCCCCACCAAAAAGACTGGACAAAAATTGTCAAGGGGAACCTTTACCTTTACCTTTACCTTTACCCACCTGAAGATAAAGGTCTTTGCTTACAGAAGGACAGCAAAAACGGGCTAACCTGGCCTTCCATGGGAGAGAGTTTCAGAGCCTAGGACCAGTGACAAAGAACACCCTGACCCACGTCCCCACCAAAAACACTGTTGTACTTTAAGCATTTTACTGAAACATAAGCTTCTGCTGTTTTTAGTGAAATGGCAAACCTTTGGCCCCTGAAGAATACTATTTCCATCAACCATGTTTAATGTTCCATTTGACTCAGTATTGCCCCTCCTTATGTTTCTCCTACTTCCAGTGTGCACAAAAGGTCAAGTCGTCACAGGACAGTACCGCATGCTTGCCAAGCATGGTGGGTATGTATGGTTGGAAACTCAAGGAACGGTCATCTACAATACACGCAACCTGCAGCCTCAGTGCATCATCTGTGTCAACTATGTTCTGAGGTAAGTCCTACAGAAATCCTAAAGAATGCTTGATGAATAAGGATTGCCATAGCAGAGATACAATCCAGCAGTCTAGCATTTGGGAGCTGTGCAATTTCTACTCAGAGCCATGGCATATACTGTACGTTCATCAGAAATGCCATGCTTCGTTAAATAAGAGTTAGATACAGAACTGGGACAGAATTAGATAAAGTGCAGTCACCCGTTTCAAAGAAAGTTGTGATGTTCATATTGCTACACTTCACTCCATAAGACTCACAGACTTTCCACCCCCCTGTTTTGTGGGGGAAAAGTGCGTCTTATGGTGCGAAAAATACGATAGATAAAGAACTGGGACAGAAATAGATAAAGTGCAGTCACCCGTTTTAAAGAAAGTTGTGATGTTCATATTGCTACAATATAATAATCCCAAACCAAGAATCAACTATGTATTACAGATCAGACACCATTAACAGCTCAGATCCATGAGTATTCCAGAGACATGATTCTAGCAGGCCTTTGTATCTGAGCAGTCATACTTCTTTGATTAGCCTTGGATGATTAATCACAAAAATAAGAAAATAGGGTGAGAAAAGCTGGTGCTATGTGAATTGGATCTCCTTTGGCACTTAAGCAGCTCCCTCTTCTAATGTCATGTTAATTATAATGTATAGTTAGACTTTCAGAGGCCAATTTGGTAAAACTACATTTCTCCCTTGACTTTTAAGGTTACAAGGTTATATGGATATGTAACATAATACATACATATATGACATTTATATATTCTATAATTATATATAAAACACATATCTGTCTGTCTGTCTACACACACACACACACACACATTATTCTTCATTGTACAAAATATAAACTATTTAATTTATTTTGTTAGTGAAATTGAGAACAATGACATCGTGTTCTCCATGGATCAGACAGAATCGCTGTTCAAGCCTCGCTTGATGGCAATGAATTCAGTGTTTGATAACGGAGTCTCTGTGGCAGATAAGAGCGATTTCTTATTCACCAAGCTGAAAGAAGAACCAGAAGAACTTGCCCAGTTGGCACCGACGCCAGGCGATGCTATTATATCTCTTGATTTTGGTTAGTAGTCCTTTGGGATATGGGAGATTTTTGTGCTTGCATTGTAGCTGACTTGCTGGGTGCCAGTAAATGGATGCATAACCCAAAAGCTACTATAGAATTACCTTGAATGTGGAAAGGCTCCTTGCATTTGATCTCACTCCTGTTGCTTAAGGATATCAACACACATATACTAAAAATATGGCCAATTCACCCCCTCCCCGATTATATATCTTGGGGTTGCAGGTTCCAAAGCCATATTGATCTTGCTTACCTCAATTTCAGGGACACAAAAGTTTGAGGAAATCTCTACCTACAAGAAACCTGTGATGACCCCAAACAAGCCTTGGCCTCCAGAAGTGAAGAACCAGCCCGCTCAGCCTGAAAAGTTGAATGTGCCATCATTTACATTGCCCCAGGTTGCTCCAGGCAGCAGCACTCCCAGTGCAAGCAGCAACAGCAGCTGTTCCACGGTAAGAAAAGGCTTTGCAGTGAAAATTGACCCTGTTGTTGTTCTTATACACTGATCTGCAGTGAAAACACATTCTGTGCATTGGAGCATGTGTAATTTTTTTCATGAGTACCCTCCAAAGCTAGTATTTATAAAGAGAGATTAATTCCAGAAGAGTAACCATGTTAAATCTGTGGCAACAACAACAACAACAACAAAAACAAATACCAATTACAATTGGGATTTGCTTGGCAAGATCCTATTTCATTCAGTACACAAAGTGGGCAGGGAGTACACTGGGCTAGAAATGTACAAAGAACGTACAAAGATGCCATATACTGAGTCAGATCAGTGGTCAGTCTAACCCAATACTGTCCACTCTGAAAGGCATCTGCTCTTGAGGAGACTTACCTAACCCTACCTGAGAGCACTGGGGATTGAACCTATGATCTTCTGAATGCAAAGCATTAGCTTCATTACTGTGCCAGTCTTGTCATCTCTCCTAGAATTTCCTTGGCCTGGCTGTTAGAAGATGGAGCTGAAACCATGATATCAGCCCCTTTCCCCGGGAACATTGTAGGAAAGAGCTCCTACACCTATGACTCAATCTCCTATGGAAGCACAACTGAGAAGCATGGCCAGGGGAGAGTTCCACTGAATTTAATTTAGCAACTACTTTTCCTGTTGAGAAACTCAGCAGCTTGTGCAATGACTCAGCACTCTCAAAGAGCAGTGGTGGCAACCTTCTCCAGATGTTTTGCACTGGAGCTCCCATAAGCACTTAATAGGTCTCTTGAGAGTCAAAGTTCCAAATTTCTGGACTGCCAAAAGTCCATCCCTCATCCCCCACTTGATTGCCCCATCTTTAAAGTCCCAAAGAAATGGCACCTGACAGATGAAAAGCAGGACCCGACTCTCTCACATGCTGCAAGGTTATATGGATATGTAACATAATACATACATATATGACATTTATATATTCTATAATTATATATAAAACACATATCTGTCTGTCTGTCTACACACACACACACACACACATTATTCTTCATTGTACAAAATATAAACTATTTAATTTATTTTGTTAGTGAAATTGAGAACAATGACATCGTGTTCTCCATGGATCAGACAGAATCGCTGTTCAAGCCTCGCTTGATGGCAATGAATTCAGTGTTTGATAACGGAGTCTCTGTGGCAGATAAGAGCGATTTCTTATTCACCAAGCTGAAAGAAGAACCAGAAGAACTTGCCCAGTTGGCACCGACGCCAGGCGATGCTATTATATCTCTTGATTTTGGTTAGTAGTCCTTTGGGATATGGGAGATTTTTGTGCTTGCATTGTAGCTGACTTGCTGGGTGCCAGTAAATGGATGCATTTACTCCCCAATTATATATCTTGGGGTTGCAGGTTCCAAAGCCATATTGATCTTGCTTACCTCAATTTCAGGGACACAAAAGTTTGAGGAAATCTCTACCTACAAGAAACCTGTGATGACCCCAAACAAGCCTTGGCCTCCAGAAGTGAAGAACCAGCCCGCTCAGCCTGAAAAGTTGAATGTGCCATCATTTACATTGCCCCAGGTTGCTCCAGGCAGCAGCACTCCCAGTGCAAGCAGCAACAGCAGCTGTTCCACGGTAAGAAAAGGCTTTGCAGTGAAAATTGACCCTGTTGTTGTTCTTATACACTGATCTGCAGTGAAAACACATTCTGTGCATTGGAGCATGTGTAATTTTTTTCATGAGTACCCTCCAAAGCTAGTATTTATAAAGAGAGATTAATTCCAGAAGAGTAACCATGTTAAATCTGTGGCAACAACAACAACAACAAAACAAATACCAATTACAATTGGGATTTGCTTGGCAAGATCCTATTTCATTCAGTGCACAAAGTGGGCAGGGAGTACACTGGGCTAGAAATGTACAAAGAACGTACAAAGATGCCATATACTGAGTCAGATCAGTGGTCAGTCTAACCCAATACTGTCCACTCTGAAAGGCATCTGCTCTTGAGGAGACTTACCTAACCCTACCTGAGAGCACTGGGGATTGAACCTATGATCTTCTGAATGCAAAGCATTAGCTTCATTACTGTGCCAGTCTTGTCATCTCTCCTAGAATTTCCTTGGCCTGGCTGTTAGAAGATGGAGCTGAAACCATGATATCAGCCCCTTTCCCCGGGAACATTGTAGGAAAGAGCTCCTACACCTATGACTCAATCTCCTATGGAAGCACAACTGAGAAGCATGGCCAGGGGAGAGTTCCACTGAATTTAATTTAGCAACTACTTTTCCTGTTGAGAAACTCAGCAGCTTGTGCAATGACTCAGCACTCTCAAGAGCAGTGGTGGCAACCTTCTCCAGATGTTTTGCACTGGAGCTCCCATAAGCACTTAATAGGTCTCTTGAGAGTCAAAGTTCCAATTTTCTGGACTGCCAAAAGTCCATCCCTCATCCCCCACTTGATTGCCCCATCTTTAAAGTCCCAAAGAAATGGCACCTGACAGATGAAAAGCAGGACCCGACTCTCTCACATGCTGTGTTTGACACCAAACAGAGTTGAAGAAGGTGCATACTTAAGAAGTGGCACACTGTATATATATTTTTTCAGCTCCTGCCCCAGATACACCACTTCTCCAGATGACTTGAGGGCAAAAGATGGCACTCCTCTTCTCACAGCAAGTCTGCTATGAGAGAGTGTGTCAAGTGCCAAGCTCAAGGGGAGAGGGGTTTGGATAAACCCCATGGGTTGCCAATGGGCTGCCCATGTTCAGTATCATATATGCAGCTGACGTCCAAGCAATCCCACCATCTTGAGGCAGGAATAGGAGCATAATTGCTGTACCTACCACTGTCCTCCTCACTGCCCTCCCTAAAATTGCTACACAACCCCCCCTCCCCAAATCTGCTCTTGGAATAATACTGAATATAGGCAGGTTCTGTGGAGACCATCACCAGCTGCAGAAAGTAGTCAGTGCTTCCCCCCACCAAACGGATCAAGCACAGACATTAGGCTCTGAGGAGTCCTTTCTCAGACAAGTCATCATGGATGAAATTGCCTTTCAAGGCACCATACCAACAGTTCTTGGCTATTAATAAAAATGTCTTGGACACAGGTTTATGGGGCTTCTTGGCCCGTTCAGGACTTGCCAAAGAATAGCGGTGGCAGGAATCTTCCAGAGCATGGGGGTGGGGGAAACAGATTTTACCACTCCTGCCTTGGACTGCTTCTGATCAAAATGAAAACAAAGCATCCATTTTCTGGTGATGGCTTTTTGTTATCTAAATGAAACTCTTACTCATCCTGGGGGACAGGACGAGTGGCTTATTTGCAAGGTCTTGAGGGATTGTTCTGTCCTTTCATTCTTCAGCCGAGTAGCCCAGGAGATTATTACACTTCCTTAGATGAAGATCTGAAGATTGAAATGATTGAGAAGCTTTTTGCCATGGACACAGATGCCAAGAATCAGTGCAGCTCAGAGGTGAGAGAAACTATGGGTCGGATCCTCCAAAATACTCTTTTCCATCCCCACATCCATGTTTAGAGCCAATAGTTGCAGGGGCTTCAGACAGGAGTTAGGCCCTGTGAGGCCCCCACACAGGAGGCCTATGTAGGAGTGCCGTCTCTCCCGTCGCGGACCCAAAATACTCAGACCTCTCCCCCTCCTTCCCCACCCCGACATGAGGATAAACAAGTGGACACAAGTGGGTTGGAGGATTTACCTGAAGTCAGGGGGTCGATGGATATAGGAGTTGATACCAGCGACTTGACACAAGCTATAGCGGGAAGAAAGAGGGAGGAGATAGAGGTGGCGGCCAGAGATATAAAAGGAAAAGGGGAAGAGATCCCGGGGGGCTGGGAATGGATCTGGGTTGAGAATCCTTGGACTGGGAAGTGGGAGCAGATAAGAGTGCCTCATGAGGAGGCAGAGAGGAGAAGGCGCCAAGGTCTGAAACCTCGACCCTCCTATTGGGGGGAAACAGAGGTGAAGGAATGGCGGCGTAAGTTGAGGGAGGAGAGGGAGGCTGTGGCTAAAGAAATTGAAAGGAAGAAAGCATGGCATCTGGAGATCCCCCAAAATACTCTTTTCCCATCCCCACATCCCTGTTTAGAGCCAATAGTTGCAAGGACTTCCAAGACAGGAGTTAGGCCCCTGTAACGAACAGACATAATGGAAAATAATGCAGAAGACTGATTTTCCCAGAAGAAGAAGAAATCACAGAAAGTCAGGTGCCAGTGAAAGGTGTAACTGGACCTTGGACTATAGAAGACAGTAACCCTTTTGTTGGAAGTTTATGGACACCCTTGTGACCCGGTTTAGGGACGCAAGAGCCGTTGAAAGTAGTTACTCATAACGTTCCTGTTGATGTTGAAGTTCCAGTAAATACAGAACCAGTTGGAAAGTTTAATCCGTCTCACTCTTTATTGAAAGTGACTGACCCCCCTAACAACGAACCCTCACAGGCCCCTGTAACAAACAGACATAATGGAAAATAATGCAGAAGACGTTGTGACTGAGCAAGATAAATTATGCTATATTCTTAATTTTACTGTTTTTCAGTTCTGTTCCTTAAAAACAGGTCAAATCATCTGTTTATCTAGCCCTGAAGTGTGCAGTTGTGGTAGGCTAGGGACAATTTAACATACTCCTAGACTACCCAATAAGCAGCAGTCTCCCACCCCACTGCTGCCCCACCATTAAAAGTCAATGGGGCAGATTCAACTGCAGGCAGTTTCTCAACTGGCCTTTCAGACAAGGCAAAGAATATATATATATTTATAGATATATTCTTTATGCCCCCTGCCTGCTTTTATCGCCTTAATCCTCTCTTGACCCCACTTTCTTTTCTGACAAGAAAAGCTAAATTGAAATTCCTGGGAGGTGCCAGGAATGGCAGTTCGTCTGATGGAGACACAGGAGAGAATCTTCTCTGTTGCTGCACCCAGACTTTGGAACTCCCTCCCACAGGAGGCCAGGCTGGCTCCATCTTTGCTATCCTTCCACAAGCAGACAAAGACCTTTCTCCTCAGGCAAGCCTTCCCTCAGTAACTAGCTAGTTACCCGTGTGTAAGTTTTAGATAGATTGCTATGCATTACTGCTTTGATTGGATGTTTAGTACTACTTGTGTTTTCTATTTCTCTATTTTCCATTTCACAGAGTGGCATTTTTTGTTTTTTTAAAATATTTGTATACTTATTGATCTTTGCCTTAATATCGTTCATTGTTCATAGTTTAAAATATTGCCTTTTAATGATGTTAACCGCCATTGTATACTCATTGTTTTCAACTTTAAGTATTGTCTTTCAATTTTGTAAGCAGCCTTGGGTCCTTTTCACAGAGAAAGGCAGGGTAACAATATTTTAAATGAATAAATTTAAATAGGTTCTTTTTGAACAGTACCCCAAACCACATTTTAAGTATGCCTCCCCCATATTGTTTAATACTTGTTTTAAAAAAAAGCCAACCCCAAAGCAGAATTTTAATGGGCCTCAGATCTGCCCAGGGTGCCCACCCTATTCCAAAGAAACCTCCTGAAACTTGATGCACACCACCAGATGTGTTGCACAATAACTTGCATAACTTCTTGCTAGCATCCCCATATGTTGATAGCCAACATAGGGGAATGCAGGGCTGCCCCCTCCACCCACATTTCGATGGAGGACTTCGATGACAAGGGCTGCATTGTGAAGAGGGAAATTAAAATGTTGGGACAGAGATGCCTGTTTGCCTTGGGCCCTTTCCTGCACCCTTTGTGGTGGTGCTGCAAGTTAAACCGCAGAAGCCTCTGTGCTGCAAGGTCAGAAAACCAGCAGTTGTAAGATTGAATCCACGCGACAGAGTGAGCTCCTGTCGCTTGTCCCACCTCCTGCCAACCTAGCAGTTCGAAAGCATGCAAATGCAAGTAGATAAATAAGTACCATCACGGTGGGAAGGAAACGGTATTCCGTGTCTAGTCGCGCTGTCCACGTGATCACGGAAACTGTCTAGGGATAAACGCTGGCTCTACAGCTTGGAAACAGGGATGAGAACCACCCCCTAGAGTTGGACACAACTGGACTAAATGTCAAGGGGAACCTCTACCTTTACCAATTCACATATGGAGGTTACTCTAAATATATGAGAGATTTACATGAGAGAAAGTGATGTTGAGTTCAATAGGACCTATCCCTGAGTAGACATACATCTATATAATTGCACTGTCAGAGATAAAAGAAGAGAACGGAGCTACAGTCTACAACTCTCCAAATCAACCAACTGGAAGAATTTTTCCAAACTATGGAAAGAGCTCTTGTTTTAGCATAATTTATCCATCGTGTTTTTTGTAACTGAAAGTGTGTCTCCCTCTCCCCACACCCCAAACTTGTCTTTTGGCAGACCGACTTCAATGAACTGGACCTTGAAACCCTTGCTCCTTATATCCCCATGGACGGGGAAGATTTCCAGCTCAGTCCGATCTGCCAGGAGGAGCGCCCTCTCTCCGAGAGTGCTCAACTCACCCAGCAGAGCTTAAGCAACATGAGCAGCCTCTTCCAGCCTCTCGCTCCTCCCTCCCAGAACCAGTTCCTCACAGAGAAATATTGTCCTCCAGGGTCCGACAAAAACATGAACACTGGCCAGGGGACTCTGCCGCTGGCCTTCTACAACAACAGCAACCAGTTGTCATCCTTGCTGCCCTACTATGCGCAGGCTAGCACCCCTCTGTCTTCGATGGGGGGAAGACCAAACACACAGTGGCCACCTGACCCTCCATTACAATACGTTCCTCACAAATGGAGAGTTGTGGGCAACAAGTGTTCTGGATTGTTCGCTAGCTCTCCATCGGGCCCGCCACTGCATTTGCCAGATGTGAACTTGTATAAAAAAAGGTAAGCCACTGTGGGCATCCTTTTAGCTGTACTAGACCTCTTTAAGTGTAATTGGGAAAGAATAGTGGGAGCACTGTTTTTCATTTATAGGAGCCCCCCTACGCATACCAGCAAGACAATTTGTGCACCTGGGACTGACAAGTTTCAGATGTAGCAAATCCCAGGATTCCTGACGTTCCTAAATCAGGAGTATGTAATATTCTAGCTGCTGTTGGAATACAACGCCCATCAAAGCTAATCAGCATACCCAGTGATAAGTCATGATGGGAGCAGTAGTTCAGAACTACAAAATACACCTTGGAGGCCAGACTGTTATGATTTTTGAGCTTGGTTGTGTGTTTTAGGATTGAACCGTGTGCTGCATTAAACATATGGCAAAGTTGGTTACATTTTTTTACTCTGAGTTGGGGGTAAAACTGGAGTAACACTGCTACGTAGAAGTACAATAGGCTTAAACTTCAAAAACTCATCTGCTTTTGAACCAGTAGAATTTGGTGTTTTATTTTTAAGGCAAAAGAGAACGGTTTAGGTGTAAGAATTGTTGAGGGGTTTAAGTCTTTCCTAGTCTGGATTCTGGGCCTGATCAGGACCTGCCTCACAACTCACATAATTTTTTGCCAAGTAAACAAGAGATCAACATTGAGCTGCATTTAGTGCTGTATTTTAACATAGCACGGGATGTAATCTTTACTGGATAAATACAACAAGTGGCAAGAAAAGATAATAAATAGGTGAATTGTCTCCAGATCTCAACATTTCTACTCACAGTCCTTGAATACAGTGGTGCCTCGTTAGACAATGATAATCCGTTCCACTGAAATCACTGTTTATCAAAATCATTGTCTAGCGAAAAGCATTTCCCCATTGCAATGCATTGAAACCTGTTTAATGCGTTCCAATGGGGAAGAATTGTCGTTGTCTAGCGAAGATCGGCCATAGGAAAGCCGCTTTGCGAACTGCCAAACAGCTGTTTAAATTGCTGTCTTGCGAAGCTTAGGTAGCAAAAACACCTGTTTGTGAGCGCGGAGGGAGCTGTCAAAATCATCATCTAGCGAAAATCGGTTTGCGAAGCAGGGACCAAACATTGTCCAGCAAAATTTCGCCATAGGAATCACTGTTTTACGAATCGCTATAGCAATCGCAAAAAGTCAATGTCTAGCGAAAAAACTGTCATGCGGGGTAACTGTCTAGCGAGGCGCCACTGTAATCCATATTTTCCTACTTAACTGAGAAGGGGCCAGAGCTGCATGGACAACTTTTTAGTTTCTTTTTTGAGAGCAATCACCAAAAACAAACTTGCAAATGAAGCCTCCAGATGACCCGTCAGTAAACAGAACCAAACTAATTTGCAGCTTGCAGGCTGGGAAACCCTATTAAGATCAACAAGCAAATTTAAGGGAGTTCTGCTTCTAATGACGGACTTCTTGTCATGCCTGCTTTAAGCCTAACATTCCCTTGATTCTCATTTCAGCAGGGTTTTTTTGAAGATGTATGCAAAACTGATCTGCTTAAAAAGAGCACAAGTCAGTTCGTAATGTATTTCAGTAAATGTAAATGTTCAGATAACAAGGAAAAGTGATGGCTTCACTTTTCACTCTTACCCTGGAAGCAAGCGGTCGAATCAACAAAGGAAGAAGAACAACCACAACATATTTTAAGGCAGCAGAAGTAGAAACCTCAAAAGGAAGTAGTTATTGTTCCATAGAAGTGGAAGGTTGCCAACTGAACTGCTAAAATGTCAGAAGGTGTCAGCTTTGTGTTTGCTTCCTTCATAGAGAGGTTTTCATAATTAAAAGAACATGAGATTATAATAGGTCTCTGGATTGTTTTTAACGGTAGGATTGTCTGCCTCTAGGAATCTCCCTCTTTGCAACAAGTCAGCAGAGCCTAGAACATTTACTTTTGGGTGCTATAGATACTCCAGTCTTCTAGCCAGCATGGTTAGGAGATCCTAAGAGTGATTGTCAAAAAATTTAATATTTTCAAGCTTTGCCTAGGAGTATATCCATCTACTTGTTGACACTGTGCACTTTCAAGTAAATAGGACTGGATGAAACTCTCACACACATAACCCTTCAGTTCTTTCAGTCCAAGAAAATGCGATAGGAAGAAATGCAAGGATATCTGTGCAGGAGGGGAGGCATGTGATTGAGCAGAAGTGGGTATTAGTAATCCTAAGTATAATGCAGTGTGTTTCTGTTTGTTTGTTATCCATTTTCTCCTTTAATTTTTATGGATACTTACAGGCAAGATCCTCTTCAAGGAACCAGGATGGTTCTAGGCTGCAGAATACTGTACTTTGGGAACTGGAATGTCCCTAGAAAAATTGCTTTGTAGTTACATTTATAGCCTGCCTCTCCTCCAGTGAGCTTAAAGAGATACATCTGGCTCTTCTTCAGCCCACTGTGCTCACAGCAACTATGTGAAGTAGAACAGGCTGGAAGATTGAAGGAGGAGGTGATGCACCCAAAGTTGTCCAATGAATTTTAGGACTCAATGGGGAGTTGAACCTCAATCTCCCAAATCCCAATTCTACACTCTAACAACTTATCCTGTGCAATGATGCCCCATAATTACAAAGACAGGAAAGAATCTTGTGGCACCTTAAAAACATGTTTGATTTCCCCATACATGAATTACAGCCTACTTCATCAACACCTTAAAAACTAACATGTTTGGTTTTCCCATACATGAATTACAGCCTACTTCATCAGAAGGATCTAACTAGGCTGCAATCTACAGCAGCTTCTGTCAAGTAAAATAGGTTTGTCTTAAATCTGCCATAAGACAGACCTTTTTGTTTCAACAGAATATCCACCAAGATATATGACATATTGTTGCTTCCAACTTTGCATAGAAAAACAAGACCGCTGCCTCCATGGGGCAGAGCTAGAAAGTGAATCAAATGCCCCTGAAACACCTATTATTGGTGTTTTGTTAAGTGTTTCCACCCTGAACATCTGTCCCATCCAAACATCCCTGAGTATTCTAAGAGGGTTTTCTCATGTGTGCGTGTACACATGCATGTGAGTGTGCACACACAGAGAGAGGTCCTCTAAAATTAAAAGCAAGCATTCAGAACAGATCAACCAAGAACTGTAATCAAATAGTGGAGTAATTCAGGATCTGCTTCTCTATGATTTCAACCTGTAATGTTTGATAAGGCAAACCCATATGGGTGGGGCTAGTAATAAGGATCCTTTCCAGCCATTTGCTTTCCAGTCCTTAAAGGAAGGGTAGCAGTAATATGGAAAGGGAGCCACATGACTAGCACCATCCCCAAAGTTCGAGAGTTTTAAAATGTCACAGTAGGATGAGACCGGGCTGTTGAAAAAACAGCTCCCACACTGCCACTTAGTCTTAGGTGACAAATTAGCCAGAAGTTAAAACAGATTGCTTTTGTTGTCATCTGTTGTTTCTGTTCTGATATCAATGGTCAGTGCCAGTGTGGTAGGCCAATGAATTGTCTACAAGACAAAGGGTCAACAGTGCCGTGGCAATAGACACTATCTGCTGAAAACAGCTGTAGAAGTCAAAAACAATAAAATAAATCTGTGTTTATCATTGTAAGTGCTTTGCTTATGAACCTAAATTATTCCTTCCACATCTGCTTTCTGCTAGCTGATTTTATAGAAGTAGAAATCATATCTCAGCACTCCCAAACAGTTCAAGAAATTAATAAAGACTTCATATCTCATGAGTTCTGTGTCTTAGAATTGTGTTCTGCTGTTTAACTGTGTTCCAAGTAGGACATTCCAGGGCAGGGGGTTGCCAGTGATACAGAACAGTGTAACTTTGGGAAAGATGGTAGAGTCAGCATGTCGTATTGCACTGGTATAACATGAGAATAATAGAATTGGAAGTGAACCCAAGGGTCATTGAGTCAAATGAGTTGACTCAATGTCTAGTGTAGAAAAAACACTTTGTGCAAATCCAGTACAGAAAATCCACCCTCTGTAAATCCCTGACAGATAACCAACCTCTGCTTAAAAACCTCTAATGTATGGGCACCCACTACCCTCTAAAGTACTGTATTCCATTGTCAAAGAGCTCCTACCATCAGGACATTCTTCCTATAGTTGAACTCTCCTTTCTTGTAATTCAAATTCATTATTTGGGTTCTTCCCATACAATAGCAGAACAACTTTGTTCCCTATTCCATACTCCCTTTAAATACAGTATTTGAAGGTAGCCATCCCATCATCTCTCAGCTATCACTTCCTTTTCTCCACATGGAGCATCTCTAATTCTCTCAACAAGATTAATTTTTTTAAAACTACTTAAATCAAAAAGAATGGTTTTGTTTTGACAGGTCACTGGAAAGCTTTGGACAGCGGGGCATAGATATAAACCCTGCACGGATTGCTCTGGCCAACAGTTTGAAGCTGAAGCGGCAGCTGGACTACGAAGAGCAAGCGTTTCAGCATTTGAACGGGGTAATCTTTCCTTTTCCAATGACTCTCTTTGGCTTTATGTGATTTTAAAACAAAAACAAACCAAAAGGGTGTCCATTTCTTATACAGCTCATGCCTTGCCCTTTTTCCTCCTCTTCCTTCTAGACACAAGAGGACACATCTGGCATTAATCCAGCACACTTAATGTGGAAAAGGATGAAAATCCTCAGAGGTGAAAATTGTGCTTTGCTCGCAGAGAAGAAGTCACTCAGCACAAGTGTCCTTAATGGTAAAGCATTTCTAAAAACTATATTATTTAAATTTCGCCAAATGGGAAGACGCATGGTTTGGTGTCGCCCTATAGGATGGCTGCTAAAAGGCATGCAGAAAATGTACAAGAGATTCATATATACGGCTATTTTCTTTCATTTTTACCACATCTCAAGCTTATTATCCATGCTTCCCATCATCTGTGAGCCTCTTAAGTATTTGAGAAATACCTTGCTATGCGACACCCATGGCCCATCTTACATGGCATCTTATTTCCCATAAATAAGAGCAACAATAGCTCTATCCCGGTGTTTTCCCCCAGAAGATTCCATCATGGAGTGAGTCTGAAAGACACACCGAGATACAAAATGATTTGAAAATTCTGGGCAGACAAAAAGAATTATTTCACACATCACCTAGTTGAATTGTGGAATTCACTGCAGAACTGTGGAATTCTTATCCTCCACACACTTGTAGAAGATAAGACTGCCCACGACTGCTATTCATGAAGGTTCTGTGTTGCCACCAGTACTAGAACCGGTGTACCTCTGTCGGTTGTCAGGAACAAGAAGCCCCAGTTCCACCATCATACACATCAAGTAGTCCTTGCCGCACAGCATCTGGAGGGCCACATTTTCCCCACTACTTGGCCTAGTGGCTGCTGTACATGGGTTCAAACTGAGGCTGCACCTCTGTGAGGAAGTACTTGCTAAGAGCATGCCATTGTTATTAAGGTCATGGTTTTAGGGAATTGTGACAGAAGAGCCCAACCCCTGGTGCCCAAAGATTTCTCGACAAAATGTATGTCATGATCATGAAAATGTAAGAAAAGCTCTCCTGGATCTGGCCAATGCTCATCTAGCTTAGCATTCTGCTTCTGATGGTGAACAGCTAGGCATCCAGTTATAAAGTTTGCTATTGTTGTTTGTCTTTGTAGATGCCTTTCTTTGTAACCTGCAAAGAGGTTCAGGGCAACCAATGAATCCGGTGCAGGAGCCGCAGACACAGCACCCTTCACCCTCCTCTGGGAATTCTGCCAACAATCCCAAAGCTATGTTCTCCCCCCACTTTTACAATCCCCCGTATCAGGACTTTGGTGTGCCACAAGCTCACAGGATGTCAGGTAAGTGTCAGCACAGACTATAAGAAAATTATCTGGACGGCTTGCTTTCTAATAGAGTTGGAGAGAAAGCTGTTCTCAAAAGTTCCTCTTGGTGGCTATGGGAAGAGGCTCCTTAGAAAACAACATGTGTAAAGTTTGCACTATAGTTTCCATCAACCCCAGCCAGCATGGTTAATGTTTAGACATGTTGGAAGCTTTTGTCAAAAACATCTGGAATATATCAGATGGAGGGAGACTGGTTGCCCTCGTGAGAGCATATCTGCCCTCAACATCTCGTCAGTAGCTGTATTCGTTTAGACCATCTTTCATGTTGCAAATATTGTTCTGAACCAAAAATGGGCATTGTGTGACTCTCCAGATGTTGTTGGACTGCAGCTCCCAACATCCCTCACTCCTGGGCCTGATGGGCTTTCCATTCCTCACTCAGTGCTAGAAAGCATGTTTTTTTGCAGTTCCCCTTTGCCTGCTCCTGGCCATGTTGATGTGGAGCATTCAGTATGTATTTTGTAGTTTTACGCTACATTTAGGGCCTTTGGTGTGGGGCGGGGCAGATGTTTGCATTTTAATATAAATAAATAACAATCATTGCAGCAAAATCAGCGAAGTCGTTTGGCACCTTTAAAAACTAAAACAGAAACTAAAGGAACTGGTACAGTGACCCTTGTCCTCAGTTTGTTGTATACAAACTAATTTATTTTTACTTTTATATATAGCTCCTGAAGAAGGCTGTGAGCCAAAATGCATTGAACATTTTAAAATCAGAATAAAGACTATTTACATCATTCTGCATCCTGAAAACTGGTCTGTCATTTTGACTTCTGTTCCCTTAAAGACTTAACAAATTTTATTTGGCGTTGGCCTGCATGGACTCCAGTCTACAGATGCATACAGTCCATGAAAATTTAAGAAAGACCAAATCATTCATGTTAGTTTTTAGGCTGTCAGAAGACTCTTGATTATTTTTGCTGCAGCAGACTAAAGAAGTCAGTCATCTTGTATCGAATGCAGTCCATGAATGCTTAGTCAAATCCAGCTTGCTGGCCTTTAAGATGACACATGATTCTGTTGTTTGGTCACCTTCTGAATCTTCTTATTTCAGGAATGACAAGTCGTTTGCTTGGCTCATCATTTGAACCTTATTTGTTGCCAGAATTGACCCGATATGACTGTGAAGTTAACGTTCCAGTGCTGGGCAGTTCGACGCTTCTGCAAGGACGTGATTTGCTTCAAGCTCTCGACCAAGCAACTTGAACCAAGCCTGCAGCTTTCCTTGGCCTCTACTGTTAAAGCAGCTGCAGTTTTAAAATCTATTTTTGCAAGTAGACAATTTCTAATACTGATTACACTTTTACAAGATTTTACTTACCTATTGAACTTGTCCACATTACCATATAGTGGCCTTTCTGTGAAGTTACTCACTTTCTTACTTGTGTTTAAAAGATACGCATTTACTGTATTTTTCTCCTCCTATTTCGATAAAGCGTTCTGTAGAAAATTTATATTATATGATTCCCCTTCACTGTGTGTAATTTATATGAAACGTCCTCAGTATTCATGCTAATAAAACAAAAGCTATGATGTTCTAATGCCTTTATGTAATACTTTGGCTCCATTTCTTGCAAAGATGTTACTTTCTGCCAAAGATAAATGAGCTAAATAATTATTTTCCATAACTACTGTCAAGACTGCCAGTTTCAGATAAAATATGTATACTCATTGTATGACCCTAACCTTTTCTATGAATTTTTCAGCATGAAAAAAAAGGCAGGTTTAAATTTCTCAACAATTTTAAAAGTGATAGAGTGTTGTGAACTCTCACACACAAACAGACACACAATGCAACATTCTAAGAGTTCGGTGTCGGCCTAATACGAGTACTAACGCTTGACTCTGTTGTTGTCTGAGACAGGACCGGCCTGACTGCACAAGTGATACAAGCAATAGTTCAAGACAGCAATATTTTTCATAGAAATGAAATAGTAGCATGCCTGAGTTCTGAGCATTGTGCTTTGTAACATTTCAAGAGGTTTTAAGGTGCATCTTAGAAGTCATGCAGCATAGATGCTCGATTTAATATTGGCCTGAATTTAAGAACTGGTGGCCTCTGGTATGCGGCAGAGCCAAAGATATCCAACACAGTAGATGATGCCATTCGGTTTTCAAGCAATGACAAGGAGCTTTCCTTGACTGTATCTAATTCTCAGTATTTCAGGGTTCCTTTGACTAAAGCAGGTGAGATGGTTGCTGCTGTTTTAGATTTAAAAGTATGGCACTGCAAAAGAACCCAAAATGGTGGAATTCCCACATTCAATATGACATTTATGCCAGTGTCACCCTCCTCAGATGTACTCTGGGTAAGTCAAGAATTGACAGTGAATCAGACCTGGGGAAAGCAGAAAGAATTACTGAACAATGAAGGAGAAGGAATTCCTCTCTTCTTAGTGTTTTAATTCTTCTTTTTGTTTTATGCAAAGCATAACTGATTGTTTGATGTGTTTCTTTTGGTTAAGTATTTATCATATCTTGGTACTTATCAGTTTTACCTATGAAGGCTTAGAGTTACCACCATGAAGCCCTCTTAGGAACTGTTTTCTTCAGAACTGGTAGTTCTGTTATTCTAATTCCAATGTTTCAGGATTTGTCCAGAGGCTATTATTAAAACTGCTAATTAAGTGCCTATTTAGATTTTAATTTTCAGGGAGTTAGCCACAAGCCCAGCACTGCTGGGTTCTGCTGAGAAATATATTTAAACATTTGCTTTCCTTCGTATTACACTGGGGAAAATTAAATACTGTATAAGATATAGAGCAACTGAATGGGAGGGTGTTTTTTCTGTTTAACTTTTTAATTCTTGATAGCCTTTCAAGTGCAAATCATATTTAAAACCATCATCAAAAGGGCAATCTGAATTCTCAAAAATCAACTTTTTGTAACGATGAAAATAACAACAACAGCAACGTTGGTGCTCAGGAATTTTAGTTCTATAGAAGGCATTCCTTTCATTCCGTGTAATTCCTGCTTGTCAATGCTGAGCAAACAGGTATGCTTGTCTATTCAGTTTAGCAATAATAGAAGCTCAAGAAACTACAGGGTGGAGATTTTAAAATATTTATTAAAGTCTAGTGTTTTGGTGGGAAGGGCAGGGTTGAAAGAGCCAAAGGGCAGCTTCTAGGCAAGGGGGAATATGCTGATGTCAGAGTTTAGACCAAAATTGTCAGCAGGTGGCAAATTATTTTAAAAAAATAATTTCCAGAAGTATTATACTAGTTCAAAGACATCCCAAAACTATTTGATTACAGTTATTGTACTGCCAGGATGCTGAAAAATCATTCAGTTACTGTGTTAGTTACATTCAAAGTAGCATCATACTTCTCAATTTAAAAAAAAAACTACTTAGAACAATTCCTCTTTGATTGCTTTCTTACAGTGTTTTTTATTCAGCGGCCTAAGGCATCAAACTATAAGTAAAGCCATTTGCTATTCTCATTACATTGTTTAGTTATTCCTTGCCCTGTAACTATAAAAGTAATTCAAATTATACCATAAAAGGAGTTATATCCTATGTTAAATTACAGCTGTAATGTGATACAGTTATACCTTATTTATTGGTGAAATTATAACTAACAAATTATGTCTGAGCTTTGAGATTATTTTAGATCATTCTTTGGTGTATATCAGCATAGGATTATAAAAGCCAGTAGACTCTCCTAGAAATTAAAGCCATTTCTCTTTTTATACTTTTCCATGTGCATAGTCCTAATTCAGGGAAGTTGTTGGAATTTAAGCCCAACTGATATCAACAGGATTAAACAACCCTCCTTGCCCAACAACTCTTAATAAATTGGATTTGGGATACTAGCTGAAAACGATAGCAAATGTATCCCACCTCAGGAAGACACCAGGTTAAGGAAAGCCGCAAAACTAACCCACAGACCCTGTTGATTTCTATGGAACTTGAGCAGAATTAACTTCCTTGCTATGGCCTCAGCCTATAAAAGTTCATGGCACAAGCCATGTGTTGGTCTTTAAAGGTGCTACACAATGTTTAGAACATTGGGGCAAAAGGAACAAACAGAACTTCCACTCTAAAATGATCTGGGATTGGGAAGCTTGACTTCTAGAAAGCTGCCACAAGGTATGTACAGAGTTCCTGAAACTCCTGCCTGCATCATTGGAAGACACACGTGTGTGTGCCTAATCCTTTACAAACATGGGGTCTGGTTTCTGTAGCTCGGGAAAGTTCTTTCTTTCTTTCTTTCTTTCTTTCTTTCTTTCTTTCTTTCTTTCTTTCTTTCTTTCTTTCTTTCTTTCTTTCTTTCTTTCTTTCTTTCTTTCTTTCTTAGTACAGCTCCTGCAATCTCCTAGCTAGTGTGGTCACCTCCAAAAAACTAACTTTTCCTAGCTCTGGTGATTTGTTGCAAACAAGGCCATTCCAAGCTTCAGACATGTATTTGCTCTCCAGTACCTACAAGGAACTGCCTACTTATGGCACCAAGTTAATGAATCTAACCCCAATATTTCAGACTTCTAACATCCTAGGGCAAATTTTGACGTAGTGCTCCTGATCCAACCAAAAGTAAGCATGTGAAAAATTCAGACTAATTGCAGCGAGAAAACGTTAAGTTGGTGCTTGAAAGCTTCCCATTTCAAAAAGCAGGAATTGAAATACTTCACACGTATTAATTCTGTCAGCTATATATGAAAGGGAGGAGGGCTCTTCCTCCAGCATAAGTGTCCTGTGAAATCTACATTTTTATTTCGTTGTGTTTTGTTTGTTAAGATTTGTGATGTCAAATTTTTCGTGAGGTGAAGTGGGAGGAAAAAATGGGATGGCAGCATTCTAGAATCTATTTCATCCCAGCCCTCTCTGTTCACATGTAAAAGTTCCTCTTAAGATCAAAACCTCTGCATTCAGATGTCCCAGGTTTCTACATAAGGTCATTTCTAGACATAAATTTGATCAATTGAATAGCTCTCCTCAAAGGAGGAGTCTGATACATGGCTTCCTCCACCTTGCAGGCTGTCCTGGGTTTCTTCCCTGTGTTCTGGTACACCACTTGGTCAGCATCAGGAGGATGAGCTTCACTGGCACAGAGGGCAAGCCCTCACAAACGAACATTTTCTATCAATGCTGAGCATGTGTGAACATAAACATATTTGCAAAAGTGTATCCATAAAGTAAAAGTAATCAGAAAAGACACTAGTAGCTATCACGGTCCTCTCAAGTCTCCAGTTGGGAGCCATGTCCAAATTTGCTACCAGGTTTTTAATTTTGGCTGAGTCATGCTTTGAGCTAAATCAGTGCATGTACGTATAGCTAAGTGTCACAAAGAACCATAAATTAAGTGTTTTCGCTTTAGCTTGCCAACCTTACAAAGTCAGCAAATTGAAACTGACTAAGTTGCAAACCTAGAATAAGTAGTATGAAGTCTGTGGGTGCAGCAAAACAGATCTCATTGTGGTCATGATTTGTGTGCTTGAAGGCTTGATGACATTTAAATATTGCTATTTTATTTGTATTCTCTATTTGTAGTTTCAATGTTAATATGTTGTACCCTAACCATTTACTAAAACACACTGGGGAGGGAGGTGGGGGTAAAAGACAATTTCTTAAACAATTAACCATAACTATTATAATTATTTCATGTTTTCTGTACTGTTGAATTTCTTACTGATAATCTTATAACTGTATGGGAACTTTAAACTTGATAAGGAAATGTATTTTGACACTGATCCCTTATTAAAATATACTGATCTTCAATTGTCTTGTGACTCTTGTTTCTGGCAAAAAAAATATGCCCCTGTGACTTAAATGTATCATTGTATAACAAAAGTATTTATTAAATTATTTATAGAAAATAAAGATTTGCACTGATCTTTAAATGCATGAAATAAGGAAAATGGCCCATCTTTGAAAATTAATCACCTACTACTACGCAGAATAAAGCAAAGTGTTGTTTTATATCATTCACGACAATGATAAATCATGCATTATTATCATTATTAATAATATTTATTGTGAGGTACTGTAGAATTGATAAGGCACATTTTCTGTTGTCAAAGCACATAACAGTATTAAAGCAGCTCTTACACGTATCAACATGACAGTTTGGGTGTTTTAGCAGTTAGACTCTGATCTCAGTGAGCCATTAAACTTATTTAAAAAAACAGACCATCCATAAGATCTCTCTGATACTGGAAAGTCACCATCAAGGGATGTAAGCAATGGGTTGAGGAACAATGATGTAGTAGATCCAGGACTTGTACAGCTGCACTGCCGACACTGATTAGCAAGAACGGGAAACCACCTCCTGCTGCCAGCCCTAGAATCACCTGTCTCGTCTGAATTTAGCAGCAACCCCACAATAGCTGGAGAAAGGTAGATTGCCCAATAATACAGTAGTACCTCGTTTTACGAATGCCTCGATTAATGTAATTTTCGGTTTAAGAACGGAAATACATTGAAAATAATGCCTCAGTTTACGATTTTTTTCCACAATGTGAAGGAAGTTTCCCCAGGATGCATTGTGCCTGGAGTTTTATACAGCCGTCCCCATTCCCATGGCAATCTGCATTTCAGTTTACGTAGTTTTCGCATGGCGTAACATCCCAGAGAACAGATTAAATTTGTAAACCAAGGTACTACTGTACTGCGTAACGTCCCAGAGAACAGATTAAATTTGCAAACCAAGGTACTACTGTAATAGATTATTGCAGGCCACCACTGCTGTGATCCAAAGTATTTGTTGGTGGCTTAGACAGAATCCAGTAGTCATACAAAAGATTGGTGGAACTGATTTGTTGATCTGTATCAGCACAGCTACTTGCATTTTTTAAAACCTTCCTGGCTAAGAGTTGTAGCTATAAGGACTGTTGTGAATATATGAAATTTTACTATTGTGCCACTGGCTGAGAATGGCTAGCAGAGCTAGGAAAAAACCATCGAGAGAAAGAGCTCTCTCCCCTAACTGACTTGTTTACTTTTCTTTCTTTCTTTCTCTCTTTCTTTCTCTCTGTCTTTCTTTTTATATGCCACCTTTCTCCCAGTCACAACTTATTAAAAAGAAACTGACAAAAACCATAATTATGAAATTAAAAAAAACATTTAAATTTAGGATTAAAACAAATCGTTTAAACCATTACAACATAAACATGTTCTCTAAAAAAATCAAAAGAGGTCTAATATGGTTTGGCCTGCTCCCACATTTGATGTAAAATAGAATCTGGACATAGAAATCTAACTGGCAGCAGCTCTCCGCCTATTCAAGCAGAGATTTTTCTGAGCCTTCTAGCTGAATTCTGTAAATGGCACATGCTGAACCTGGAGCCTTTGCCACATGTGATATTCCATATCTGAAATCCACAATCTCTCAGCCAAAGCTTAAAAAGTGAAATTAGAAAAACCGAATTGCAAGGAACTTTTAAAATTCTTAAAAGATGGTCATATAGATGAGGGGCAGGATCTGTTCTCAATCATGTATTTATTTAAAATAATTTTATTCCACCTTCCTCCTGGAAAAGGACTCAGGGCAGCTTACAACAATGAAAGACAATATTTAAAGTTGAAAACAATGAGTATGTAATGAGGGGTTAACATCATTAAGTGATGTCTAAAAATTATGAACAAACCTATCCATTCTGAAGGAAATCAACCCTGAGTGCTCACTGGAAGGACAGATCCTGAAGCTGAGGCTCCAAGACTTTGGCGATCTCATGAGAAGAGAAGACTCCCTGGAAAGGACCCTGTTAGGAAAGTGTGAAGGCAAGAGAAGAACGGGACGACAGAGGACAAGATGGATGGACAGTGTCATCGAAGCAACCAACATGAATTTGACCCAACTCCGGGAGGCAGTAGAAGACATGAAGTCACGAAGATTTAGACATGACTAAACAACAATAACAAAAATTATGAACAACAAATAAGGAGGCATCTTACATCAATTAACAAGCAACATTAAGACAAATATCAGTAAGTATACAAAAAATTTAAAACATGTCATTCTGATAGGAAAACACAAGTAGTACCAACAATCCAATCAAAGCAGTAATGCATAACAATCTATCCAAAAATCATACACAGGTAGCTGGCTACTGATCATCCTATAGTGCAGGACACATAATAATGGGCTCAAGCTCCGGGAAGCAAAATTTAAGCTGAATATCAGGAAAAACACCTTAACAATTAGAGCAGTACAACAGTGGAATCAATTACCTTGGGTTGTAGGGAGCACTTGAACACTGTAGGCATTTAAGAGTAGATTGGACAACCATCTGTCAGATCTGCTTTGGTTTGGATTCCTGCACTGAGAGGAGTTGGACTTGATGGTGTTATAGGCCCCTTCCAGCTCAATGATTCTAAATGCTCCATTTTCTAAACT